CCTTCCTTGTCTGCTCTCTACTTGTATGGCACTGCTTCTCTGTAGAGCTGTCCCATTCCTCTTCTGGCTGCTTAAAACACTAAGGCCTTTCTACTACTAGAAGCTGACTGCTTAGTTGAGGCCTCTTCTTGTGACATTAATATCAAGTGCTGTACTATTCAAGGATTACCCAAGTGCCCTGTTTATCTCCTTGCATGTGTAAGTATTTTAGGAGGTTGGCAAAAATATATACTGTTTTTGCTTTTTTTACAGAGATGGAAACCTTGCCTACTGGCTCACCTTAGCCCGAGTTGTCTGGAGGAGAAAATGCTGAAAACTCTCATACTAAAATATTGTTTCCATTGCTCCAAAAAGCAAACTACAAAGAAAGGCTAAACATTGTCATACCTTTACAGTATCTTCTTCATCAAAAACTTGGAAATCTGTAGGTAGAAAAATATTTCAAAAACAATGTGAATATAAAATTCTTAATCTGGAGACCAAAGCAAAATTCTTTTTGACTTTAATGAGTCTGAGATTTCATTAAGATGCAACAACTTATTTCTTCAGGCCAATAAACTCTTTCAAAAACATCTTTTAATATCTAAAGCATTCATATTAAGACAATTTTGAGCAAGAATGTCACGCATAGAGTAGCAGTTTTATAACTCCAAGTTCTTGTTTCAGATTTAATGAAACACAGTACTTGTGTAAGAATGTGTATTCTTAGGCAAAATTGATTTTTTAACACAAAAAATTAACTGCATGTATTTCCTTGGTGACGATCACTTTTGTCTCCATGTTTTTCATTTATTACATGAGTTTCATAGGGATTACTCTCATGTTTTAAGTCAAATGTGCAATTAATTAAGTTATCATCTAAAAAGGGTTGTTGAGGAACCATTTACACTTGCATGTCTTAAAAGATGGATACTGTGGTAAATGATTCTATTATTATAAATATTATTGTACTTGCTAATTTTTTATCAGATAAATGTTTAAAGTAAAATAAAACATTTCCTGTTCTATGAATCAGATACATATAGTTGGAATAAATTCATTATTTCTTCTCAAGTGGAGGTTCAAACTCTGAACAGGGGTAGACAATTTCTTACATGAGGAAACCAAGAGGAGTTTATTCATTATTTATCAGCTGATGTGGTCAGAATGAGGAGGGGTGTCTCACTGGTCTTAGAAAGAGGAGCTCAGAAAGCTGGGGTATCACAAGGGAGTTGGAAGAGTGTAGTTTCTTACGTGAAATGTATATGGGAGAAGCATCATTTACAGGAACTGAGATACTGTTGCAAGTATCTTCATGGAAGAGTTGACATGGGAGGTGTAGAGGCAAGTGTTGAAAAATGTCTTGAAGAAAGTGGTTGGGAATAATTTATTTCATGAGGAAGTGGTCTCCAGAGAATTAGTTTCTAGTAGTGTATGCACAGAAAATTGGCCGAGTCTCTGAGGAGCATCTGGAGGCAGATGCCTCAGGAGAGCATAGCAGGGAAGGATGCTACCAGTAGTCTTTACAAACTAGCTGGTTTGTTCCATAGCTCCTTCTCCAAGACAGGAGAGGAAAAGTTGGCTTCTCTAATGTGTGTTTACATTAGTTTTTTTCTATATGGAATATGATTTGGCAGTCTTTTACTCTTTGAATTTTTTTATTTTACCTGTGGAGGTAGTAGCTCTAACAGACTGCAATTCAAGCACCAACACTGCACAGCTGTTAAGGAGAAGGAAAATAATTGGTTTTGCTGGCTTACCAGACTTCTGAGGCACTACCTGAATACTAGCGGCAAAGAATTTCTTCTCAGAAGCTGGGAGGAGAAAGAGAAAACAAATGTCTTGGATGTGTCTTGTATCCTAAATTATTCTAATTAGATTTGGCTAGTGGCCTGCACGGAAATTTAGGTCTTTCCTCATGGAAGCATAGTAGAATGGAAAATAAAGTTTCTTTTCCTGGCTTTTGCTTAGGAGAGAAAGAAAGAATAAAAATTATAGGAAAGCTAAAATATGATAACATATTCATACAGTTGTAACACAGTGATAGACTTAGGCATTGCTGATTTGGGGTTTTCTATAAGTAATAAGTAATTTCTGGTACACACTTTCTCACCAGTGACTGAGTAATGCTATGTACGCAGGATGTTCATAGCATCGGTGAATCCTACTACCTGGGTGTTACAGTGAGTAACTGTGGAAAAAATATGGAAAAGGTCTTTAAGATAAATGTACATGTCTTACAAATGTTATATATATTCTGCATAAACCTTTACGTTTGAGTATACTTGAAGAGTGCATAAGCCTTCTGGTTGAGCTGAACAATTCTTGTGCTAGGACATTACCAGTAGGACTTACTATTTTTCCTCTTTGTGTAGTTGCAGCAACTGCTTGTTACAGCACACTGTGCTTTTCTGTGTTATTGTGCCAGCTTCCACCCCATTTTCAGTCTCTATAGCAACACTGTTTCTCAGCAACTCGGGGATGCATAGTAAAGGCCCCTCAATTTAGAAATAGTGCACTCCAACCATAAGAAAAAAATGTTTTGAAACAAAGATCAAAGAAGTTTTACCTTTAATAATTCAGGATATTTATTACTAATTAATTAGTGTTCTCTGTTTTGACTACTTAGACAATTACCTGATACTTTGATCTGGGCCGTTGTCAGGCATTTGTTGTGAACAGCATTCATTTAAAAGCAAAACCTTTGGAACTGTCTCGAAGTCAACTTTTAAGTGCTATAAAACTACTGGACTTGGCTGGCAGTGTCGTCTGATTTCTGGGTCTGTAGTAAGTAGCTGAGAGAAAGGTAAGCACCATTATTGTATTTGAGAGGAGACAGTAATTTTGACTTTTGAACACAGCATAGAATATTTTCACCCTTCACAGGAAACAAAATTAATTGTAGTTTTTTTATGCACATTTAAAATGTTGATCATATGTTGTCTGATTTCAAAAGAAGGAAGGCCTCTGTCATCAAGTCAGTTGATCTGTCAGATTTCTGCCTGCCATGGTCTGGTTTGTCTTACTCTGTACTTCAACTTAATTGTGTAACGTGTTTAAAAATGCCTTTTATTTGCTAAAATGCATATTCTGTGTAGACAAACAAAGTACCTATAAGTAATCAAACATTTTACTAATCTTGAATGTTCCAGTAAGGATTCAAGAATAAGGCTGCTCTTGTTCTGTACATAACAGTATTTCTGTTAATGGGATCAGAGTTTATAATTGTATAAATTTATTTCCTGTACATTTGTAATTAATTTTAAAATTATTTTTTGTTTTGTGGAAGTGTTTTTAATTATTAATACAGGGCACATGTGCTGAAATACAACACACTGACTGAAATAGTGTATCAATGAGCTGAATTAGTTCAGATTTGACATTTTGGCAGGCAGGTGCCACTTCTGCTTTCATATGATGTTCATTATAGAGTAGATGTGTTAGCACTGAAGTAGATTCTGCTCACTTAACTCAAGCACTTCTTCTGCAGCTGAGATCTATACTCTCCATAGAGTTTTGTACATAATAATGTAGACTGTACATATGTTAATAATGCCTCTCATATCTTTTTGGAGGGAGGATTCATGGATGTGATGTTATGGTGTTGCACAATGACAGCCAGTTTGGTAAAACACATAAACCATACTTAACTTTGGGACCGTGAGTACCCTTGTACAAGAGTATAGCATGCTTATTCCATATGGGTAATTTAAAGGTTAGACATTGCACTGTGCTGGATAGAGAGCTTGTCATCTTATAGTAAGTATCAAGTGCTAATAGATTATGCATGCTGTATAACTCAGTAACGTCAGTGGATCTATTCTTATTTGAGGGAGCAAATTCTACTGAGTGACTTCTAATCTAAGTGAGCTTAACCTGTGTGTTTTATTCATCCCCTTGCTTTATTTTATGTACCTTTGGTGGAGAGAAAAAAAGGAGGAAAACATGTGGCAAGCTGTGTGTTTGAAAGGCTATCTTTTAGGTTGCAACACGTAGCTTTCACTAAACACGTTTAATTGATTGCTTAGAATCTTCTGATTTCATTGATTTCCCTACATTGACTTTTCTGTCAAGCTATGCAGAGTCATATACTGCTGCACCCGTTTTAGGAGTAATTGTATAAGCAACTTTACATGCCTATGTAAATGTTGGGCAGAACTGCAGAAGCCAGGGTTGAGTCCAGTCCAATGCCCAGGGTGGCATTGTAGTCTTTAATGAAGAAGTTATTAAAACAAGTCTATATCCCATAATTTAAAATATTTATAGGTTCTTTAGAGAGTGGAACACAAACTTGCAGCTTTCACCATCACATTTATGGTAGACTCAATAATTATAGATCATTGAATATTTATGCTTCATAATTGGCCAATATCCTGTCACATTTATAACAAATGGTCAATGAGTCTCACTGGAAAAATGTAATAAACTGAAAGTTTTGGTAAGTTCAGATTTAATTTATTTTATTTATTTGGTTATGCTTCCTTTTTCCCTTTCTTCTTAGCTCAAGATATATATATTCAGCTTAGCTGAAAATTTTAGTTCAATTTGAAAATTTTAGAAAATAGACTCGTGAGCAATTGCAATCAATGAATCTTGGGACAAGTCTGGTGTAAAAATCTGCCCTCTCTGACCTGAAATTATATACTACAGACTGTGTAGTAATCCTGTACGTAAACGCTGGACTCTTCAATACTGAAAGATCCCATTTGCTGTACTTGAAATTGTTCTGGGGACTCTTTTCATACTGGTACAATTCTACAGTTACTAGAGTTACTCCTACTTTATCCTGATCCAAGAGCATACAGAACATGCAGTTTTCTGGAGTTTCTCTGTACTTGGCATCAGAACTATTATGTTGTTTTATGTAATTCTATTTAAGTTCCTCTCTGAAATGCATCCAGTAAATTGTTCAGATTAAATGGTTTGATATGAGTGGGTCGATATGTCTCTGTCTAGAAAATGTGGTTTTACACTTTGGTTTGTTTCGTTATAGAACGCCTAATGCCATCTGTTCATCTTAAATGGATCCAGACTTGCAGGGTAAGGATTTTTTTCTTTTTTTCCCCCAGTTTTTCTCAAGAAACAATTCTGTGTCTGTTTGGACAGAAGCAAATTAACTGTAGTGAAGTCATGACACTTTCACAATCTCCATGCTGTCCCACATAAATGACAAATTACACAGCTGTGCTGTCCTACCTTTATTTTTGGCTCTGTCCTGGCACCTTCCTTGCCATTATCACCTTGGCTCATGGAATGGTCAGGTGTACAGGGGCTATTTTCCCTAATTTATAATATAGGATACATTTTTTTCACGTATTCTAGAATAGGCATGAAGGATGGCCATACGCTGCCTGAGTATAAAATCTTAGTGGGTACTTCATCTGCTACGTAAGAAGTAGCACAAAATGCAGGACTAGCAGGTAATGAGCTGATGTCACCAGAAAACAATGCACTCTTTTCTATATGTGTAGGAATTCCTTTGTCACCTTCTCAAGAAAGGGCATTTATGAGTCTTGAGGTGAAATTTGACCAATTGCAGAATGATTACATGCTGGTTTTCTGTCCAAAGAGGAAGCTTTATTCCTATGAGAAATGAAAGAGTTTAGCGACCCTAAATGGCATCTCATAAATAATAATCCTAAAATATTTTGTATTGTATTTGGGCTTTTTTTCCTTTGTCTGCTGTTTCCCTTGTGTGCAAGTTAATTCTGAAACTATTGCTTAACAGGCACAAAATGCCCTACTTTGAGGCGACATTTTGTCTGTAAGGATGGACTTGAAGTGAGTAGCAGATGGCTACTAAAACAGATTGCCTTCACTTAGAAAGTCATCTTGCACATGGAAGGTGTTTGAGTTGGATTGTGTTTATGTTTCTAGCATTTGTATTTGAAAATAAGCATTTGGAATTTAATCCATAGCCTACTGAAAACTGTGGGAGTCTTTCTGTTACTTTCAAAAGAGCTTTGGATCAGTTTACTGAAGAAAGAGAACTGATGATGCATGGAAATCAAAGCTCATTTCTCACATTGTGTGACATGCTACACTACATCTTCAAATAATATCACAAAACATAGTATGACAAGAGCAGGACTAAACAGATGGTATAGCAGATATTGGCTTATTTCTATATATTAGGCAGCATCTGTGAACCAGCAGAGCCCGTAATTTGCTGACTATTAACATTAGTCTGGTAAATTTGTGGGAAACTATTGCACACAGCTGATTGCCAGACTAAACAGGTAGAGAGTTTTGTGAGTTATTTCTACTCAATTATACATATATTCGTTGCTTATCTTTGACTTTTAATAAACTCGAGTCACTCGTCCTCTCTGAAGTACAGGGCAAAAGAGTCTCTGAGGACAGGAGGATAACTGATAAATCCCTTTCTAGTTTCTAAAGCTTTGTGAACAAGCCTTTTTTTGTCCTGAAGTTCTAGGTATGTGTGTAAAGTACCAGGTGTAGGTCCTGTTCAGAGCCCTTACTTCCCACCCAGGAAAACATCCTTTAGTGATGTGAAAGGGATGAGCTGCAATCATGTAAAGGTATGGGATTTAGTCAAGCAGCTTGAGTGCGATTACTAAGTCAAAAGCCAGTTGCTCTGGTAAATTGCTTATCTTCTTCTGTGAGAGTCCCAGATGTTGATCTTGACAGAAAATGTGTTTAATGCTTGAAACAATATGCATCCAAAACAATAACCTGCTGTGCAGCCTGACACACTGTTCCTTGTAGAAGAGCATCTCAAATCAAAAACTGTTTTGCCTGAAGAAATATTATTTCATTATGATCTTGGCTAAAAGTGTGCACAGTGCATATTCTTTTTTCTGGTCCATGAATAGACTTGATTCCCAATGAAACAGGTGTGCTATCTATGTTGAATACTGTTTTTACAACTTGTCTTGTCACTGGTCATAGAAAGACCATTTTCCGTACAAAGCTATTAGAAAAAAAAGGAAATGTTTTAATTTTTTTCATTTTTTTTTCAAAATTTTCCTTCAGAGTAATGTGGGGGTTGATCAAATCCAAATGTTATTTTGATTTTTAGTTAAAGAATTTGTTTTTCTTTCTTTCCATTATTTTTTTTTAATGAACCACTTTATTGTAATGTGTGTTTTCTTTCACAGAGGCCTTCAATGATGTTCAGAGCTCCGTCTACAGAACAGCTCTAAAACTACGCTCTGTACAAAGTCTGTGCCAGTGTTAGTATCTGAAGAGAAGCCTGTGCTTTGGCAGGGGGAAGAATCTGTTAACAATGTTGTGTTGCTGTCACCATGAGCTATTATGCTGCTTTTCTCTCTTATTTTCCACCTGAGAATCTCAGAATGCATTACGAACACTTAAGAGCTAGATAGTACATCATATACAAATTGATTCCCCCCTTCTTTTGAATGTCAGTGAAAATACATTAGTAAAATTCTAAAGGCATGAGAGAATCAAATTATTATTACGATCTGCAACACTTCTGTGCAGACATCAGTGACAATTATGTATCTTTATCTGTATATTATTATTCTTGTTAAATGTCAAATTCTGATGTGTTTCTTAGGAGTTGAATTATTGGAAATTATCATGGTTCACATAAAATCCATTGACAGATGGTATTATTAATAGTATAAGTATTAGTGAGAATAAAATATGATAGACCAGAAAACCCCTGGCTATTTACTGGATGCAAATTCCATATTGAGCTAAAATGCACGGAAATCTTGAATTTTCTACCTGAAACAATCTGTTGCTGAAAGTGCACAACATTGCAGATGAAGTCTTAATGGTAGCACAGAAAAGATGACTAGTTTGTTGGCCTTGGCCATATTTTTTCATTTGGGCATGCTCTTCTATCAATGTATTTAGTCTGATCTCAGCCCTGATGTGGTAAATCTGCCTGGTGCTATGTGCCACAACATGGAAGTACCAACTCACACAGGTACTGGTTTTCATTAGCTCCGTTGCCTAGTCCTCCATGTCTCCTTTAGGCACTCATAGCATCTATCCCAGTTACTCTACTCCCCCTTGAACATTGGTGGCCAGAATTGCGGATGGGTTTCCAGATTGAGATTCATCAGTGTCTCACACTGATATTTTCCCATCTGTGCTGGAAAGACCATAGATGACATATTGTAGGTTCTCTGCTTCTTCAGCAATCTACAAACTTTCAATCTGCTATAATCTTTCTCTTCCAATGTTAATCCTAATTGATCATGCCACTGCAGCACTGAATGTGACCTTTCAGAAGCCCTAGCTCTCTCTTCCCACTGGGTATTAGTTATTCCATGGCACATTTATAATACAGCCTGTTTGCCCCTTCCTTGGCCATAGTGCCGATGGATTTGTGCATGAGGAGAAAGCTTACATCAAAGCACAAATTGTTTTCACGGTCCCTGGGGAGCTTTTTTCTGAAGTACTAATGATGCATACTTTTATGCTATCTGTACGTAGAATGAAAGTTAGGTCTATAATTTAGATGCAGTTAATCAAGCCATTTTCCTCTATAATTTGGATGCAGTAGTGCTATTTTCTTCCCTTCCTATCTATCCCAAAATCACATGCAGGGAATTTAATTTGAGCTGTTCTATCTTTGTAGCCTCACGAGTTTTGCTACATCCATAAACCCAGCAAGACCTTTCCCAGATTATTTCCTTTTTGTGTTGCATACTGTTTTAGACTTTGTTTTACAGACTTGTCTTAGCTAGGCACTTCTAATTAAAAATGTCAGGCTTCCATTCATTGAAGGAAAGGGGATCCTCATTCATTTCTCCCTTAATTTTCCCACAGTGGATTTGATTGACGTTTCTCTGATTCAGCACATCCTATCAAGTGAACACAGCCAGAGGGAAAAGCAGATTTCTCTGAAAGTGCAACAGATCTCTGGAATGCTGATGAAACTGTTTGAGAGGGCAAGATTGGAAAAACCAGGTCAGGTAGATCCTAGAGCCACTGAATTCACATTGAGCCTGCTAGTTGCCATGTATGACAGGTGAGAGGAAGCACAAATGTAAATCCATCATGAAGTATTGCTACCCTAAGTCTGTTTCTACTCTTGAACCATTTCTGTATGAAAACCTCCTGTTTTGATGGTCTTTTACTTGGGATACACAATGGGATTAGTTCAGCTATAGGAGTATGAGGCACAAAACTTTATCAGACAAACAGTGGTCAAATGTTTCCAAAATTATCTGGAAGTCTAGATGTCTGCCAGTCCATGCTAACTTTTTCTGTGAACAGCTTTACAGAGAATCACTCTTCTTTTGACTGCCAAGATATTTTGATACGCTCCTGAAAAAGAATCCGTATTTGCCTTTGAAAGACAGTACACGTGCACAGGTCAAGAATAGGCCAGTCAATTTTCATCAGAAGTTTATCAACCAATTATAAAACAAATCTACTGTCTTAAAACAAAGCTGATCTGCTACCTCCTGTGAATAGCAAATAATTTCTGGAATTAATAAGGAAACAGCTCATAAAGTTTACTTTCCTCATGTATTGTTTGTGAATAGTGAATTCATTCACTAAGGGCAGGATTGGTTTGTCATTGTACCAGATTTAAAAGACAAGGGCTGAGTTCATTGTACAATTTATTCACCACAGGTGAATTGTATTCCCTTTACATCAGAGCAAAGTTTTTTGCTGAAAGTAAGTGAGAAGTGAGATTCTGGACTTTTTATTGAATCACTATTCATTCATTATATGATCACTACTGCTTAAGGTCCCGTGTTATTTATTTTTTGTATTTAAAAAAATCAGTTAAGGCTAAGAATGAACTGGTGTATTACAAAACAAAGCTAGAAATATCAAGAATATTTGTAATTTGTTTGCAGTATAGGGAAACCATTTAGAAGAATCTTCTTAACAATACTATCTAGCTCTTTTTTTTCTGTTTTCTTAGGACAGTGTGTCATTTTTTTCTGCTGTAATTTCTTTTGAAAAAAATTTCACAAGTTTCTTGCCACATATCTAGTATATAAAAAGCTTCTTATAGTTTTCTCCTAATCCTGTTTTCTCTGTAGAGTGCTGTTCTCCACTATCAACACTGGAAATTATTCAATGGCAAGAGCACATAAGGGATTTTCCATTTTTGTATGGTAGCTTACTTAATAAGCTTACATAAACCACCATAACAACCATTGATTGTATACTTTAGTTTTAATCATGGACTTTTTTCTATGAAAGTTCTGGAAAAACTAAATATATAAATTCTAGAAACTTTTGACCAACAATTTCCCATGCAGGTCATACTTTAGGGACTATATTGCAGCTTTATGCAGTATGCTCTGTAAAAATGCAATTTACCTAAAGATTCTTGAAGACAATTTTATGTAATGATATTCTGAAGCACAACTCATCTTTGCAAAAGTGGTATCTTCAATATAGAATTGCAGTATTTCCTGATTTATGGTTTCCAATTCATGTCTGCTTTGTCTTCACATAGAGAAATGTTTTTTCATTAGATACCTATGTTGCAAGTTTGGGTTCTGAATTAAACTACATTCTTTATGATCTAATGGTCAAAACTGAAGTCCTGCTCCTATATCCTTTTGATTAAGTTGAGTTGCAGTGAAATTGAAGGGAATCAGCCCAAGAGAAGTTTAATGCAGGTCTGGGGCCACAGTGAAGCTGCCTGATGATATAATACAAAAATTAGATTGTAATCCTGCTTTCTCTTTCAATTTTGGGAAAGCTTTTCACAAATGAAGAGCAGAATTTCTTTCAGACATTTACTGCAAATGTAAAATTATATTTTACTTGGAATGTAAAGTTTTTGAAGCAGGTGCTGTGGTTTTGTTTTATGATTGCATGCTATCTTGAACAGTTAACTCTGTAGTTATGTTCAGGGACAAAGGGTCCTAGACATAAAATATCACTAAAATGCGACATCAGCTATATACATATAAAAAGATATGAGTTTTGAAATTGTCTTCCAACATAGCAATATTTTTTTCTTTAGAGATTGCAGTTTTTATATTCTCAGTGAGTGTAACTTTTTTTTATTTTTCTAGATCCGGAACAGGTTATATCAAAACTAGATCTGCTGCAGCTGCCCTAATTGCCCTTTCAGGAGACACTCTACTGGCTAAATACAGAGGTGGGAAATATATAATTTTATACACTGCCTGAAATACTGGACATTGAGAAAAATCTCCATTGTAATTTTTGTTACTTTAAATACAATTCTGCCATGCAAAAAGGAAATTATGTTGACTGCTTAGTTGTAGAGAAAGGCTGATGCAGAAGAATACTTTTCCATCAATGTCCATAGCTATCTTTTAAGACAGATAGAGCTTAAAAATGAAGGATGAGTTCCATTTGCCTAGCAGAAAACAACAGAAAACCCCTAGTCTTAAATTACACAACAACTTTACAGATTTGGTCCATGAAGCTTTTAGAGGCCATTTAACATTAGACAAAAATGCTTGAATAACTAAGTATGACAGATAAAGGTATCCCAGTGCAACCTGCAGCACAAAGGTTTCTGCCTGAATCAAATGCTCAAAATGGAGAACAAATGGACCACAAGTGACAATTTGCCTCATGATCTCCTACTGCATATTGTGTATTTCCTTCCAAATTACAATTTTTACAATTACAAATATTTTTCTTACAGACATGAAAATTAGCTCATTGTTTCCTTTATCCTTACTTGTCCTGTCTGCCAGGAATAAGGAATTGCTGTAATTTCTCCTTCTCTTTCCCCTGCCTATAGGAAGAAAGTATTGTCACAGCAGTCACCGAGTGCCTGTCAGATAAGCAATAAAGGGGGGAACTTCCTTGAGGGGTTTATTTGGTAGGCTGCGATCGTCATGTAGACAGTTTGAGAATAACTAGCTAGAAGACACTTCAGGCTCTGCCAGGATTCCAGTTTCTTTCCTCTGGTTGTTTGCAGCTTTCTTCCAATTTTATGCTGTCCCTGATGGAAAGGTGGCCTTGATGACCCGTAGTGCCCTGAGAAGCCTACTAACAGACTTAAATCAGGTAATGCCACCACAGTGCTGTTACAAAACAGATCCTGTAGGACTATCCTAATCTAGGAGAAAAAAATACATGGTTGATACATTTCATCAACCAAACTTCAGACGTCTGTACTCACTAGAAGAGCTTGCAATTGCAGAAAAATGCCTTAGCATACAGGTATTTCCAGCTGTACTGGCACTGAAAATGGGATCTGAAAATGACTCCTGAGGTTCAAACCCAGTGTTTTTCACAATTCTAGTATAGCAACATAGTATATTGATCCATTTCAGTAAGTGAGCTGGAAGCAAATCATTCTGACACATACTGAACTATGAAATTGCGTATTGATGGTATGAATATGAAGGCTTTCTTCAGAACAGTATGTAAAAAGGCATTTCTATAGATGCTTCACCATCTGTCTGCTGTCACCATCTCAGCAGAGCATGATGGGAACATCTGTGTTTTATTGAGGTGTTTCTGAGCCTTTCTTCCTGATGCAGATCCCAGCCATTGTGGGAGAAAGCTGTGCTCTGTCTTGTCTGGAAGTGGCGACTCACAGCTGTTTTCATGGGGTGAGTGAAATTATGATGTCCTGGGAAATTATTTTGAATGTTACCAAATTGCAAGTGTAACGTCAAATAACATCCACCACTATCTACCTTTAAGGGGCAGGGCTTTTCGTCAGTCTCACAGTACAGGAGGTTTTATATCTATAGAAAAGATGTTCAATAAAATAATACTGAAGACTCTTGCATTTATTCCAAAACCTTTGAAACCCAGTAACATTTTACGTGGATAGAAAATCTATGCTAGAAGGGTTCAATATCAGAGTAATTATTAGTAACTGTAGATGAGACCAGTTCTTTTCATGTAAATGGTTGAACTTGAGATGTGTTTTTTCCAGGTTCTGAAGTCAGCAATTGATGAAGAAAAATTCCTGTCTTGGCTGAGATCGGAGCCTGCTGTTCTTCTGTGGCTCCCTACATGTTACAGGTTATCAGCCACAGAAATGGTTTCTCACCAGGCTAGATGTAGAGTCTGCAAAACTTTCCCCATTACAGGCCTCAGGTGCGTCAGTAAGTATTGAAGTCTATAGCAGCTACATAAGTAGTTATTATGATTCTGTGGTGTTGTGGTTTTGGCTGAATAGGCCAATCAGAATGACAGATGGCCCTTCTCCTCCTCCAAAGAGAGGAGACGAAGAGATAAAGAGATCTATTAGTTTAGAAAAAAAAAAACTAAACTACTTTAATGAAAATTAATATTAAAATCAAAAAGTAAATAATGAAATAGATACAATATATACAAAACCATGTCAAGCTCCCAGGATGATGTCACCAACAGGCACTGGGGAAGTCCCAGACTGGACTTAGCAATGGATGGGAACTGGATTCCAGCTCTGGAGTCAGGAAAACCCATATCTGGATCAAAGGCAAATGAACAGAAAGGGTCCTCTTCGGACGTCAGCCACTGAAGAAAGAGGGCTGAACCTTTGATCCCTCGGCTCTTATACTGAGCATGGGGCAGATGGGATGGAATGCCCTTTTGGTCAGTTTTGGGTCACCTGTCCTGCCTCCTCCTCCCCACAGGTGGGACCCCTCTACACTTTTTTCCATTTCCAACCCTCCAACAGGGCAAATGATGAAATTAGCTGACCTTCGTTGCTATAACAATAAGTATAAGCAAGAGCCCCTCTACATACTGTTTCTTGGCATGAAGTACAAACATTGGTCTTACTGCTCTGAGAATGAGCAGTTTCCTCCACAATATGCTGTTAATTTCAGAGAGTTAGAAGAGGCCTGGCTAAGATGTAATATTACTGAACAGAAAGTTGGTTCTGTTTTACCTCAGACTGGGACATTTGTGTACCTTACAGGCTCTAACTGCTGTATTAAGCAACAAACTTTGGATGTAAGTTTAAGTAAGAGAGGGAAAGAGAGAACCGTCACTGGCTAGTGCTCAAGCCTACATCCTGCTTCTTTTTAGTTCACTAGCACAGACATGATTACGGAGTCTTATTGAAAGTAAACTGGCAGTTCAGTGGTAAAGCCAATTAAACCTGTGTGTCTCAGTACTTTGTCCCATAATCAGGTGTATTAACTGGCTAGTTAAGTTAGCCAGCTTAGCATCTTACTCGTCTAAGTAATGGTAGAAAATAACCTAATGGTATAAAAACAATACTATCTATTACCTACTGACCAGAATGCTCAGAAAAGCATTTTACTATTACTCTCACTCTCTTCTCAATAATAGTAGGCTTATAGGCTTAGGTTTTTTCATTTTTATTTTTTTGCATAGCTACAAATCCTATGTCAATAATGTAGTGATACTACAGTTCCATGAGAGCAGCAAAGAGAGATAAGCTGGTGCATAAGAAGCACATGAAGATGGAACTGCTTTCTCAAAAATGGTGCTAGAACAACTTTTTCTTCCTTGGACTGAATTTTCATGCCACAAATCAATAATAGCAAAATCATTAGTGGGTTCTGAAGTCCAGTGTCATTTGGACAAAATAACTCTTGCATTCAAGAATGCTGAGGAAAGTTGTTACTCTAACAAAGGTGCTTCTCTCCATTTCAGAACACAGGGATTTAGATTTCCAGTAATCAAGCTCACGTGCACCAAGCTCTTACTTGTGGGGAAGTAACTTAATCCTTCTGTTTTCCCTCACAGGTATCGCTGTCTGAAGTGCCTCAATTTTGACCTCTGCCAAGTCTGCTTTTTCACTGGTCGTCTCAGCAAACCACATAAGAGTTCACATCCTGTTATGGAGCACTGTGTACAGGTAGAGTCCCATTGTACTGATTCATTTCCCTGTTCAGGTTCGTCATGTAGGCAAGTAGGCAGTAGACTCTTGAACTACATTGGCTGTGAAATTATGTGTGTCATAGCCATAATCACAGAATCACAGAATCTTCATGGTTGGAAGGGACGTTTGAGATCATCGAGTCCAACCATACACACACACAAAAAACCCCAAAAACAAAAAAACAAAACCCAACTCAACAATCTCGGGCACTAGAGCATGCCCTGAAGTGCCACATCTACATGTTTCTTAAATTCCTCCAGGGATGGTGACTCCACCACCTGGGCAGGCCGTTCCAGTGCATGACCACCCTCTTGGTAAAGTAATTCTTCCTAATATCTAATCTAAACCTCCCCTGCCGCAACTTTGTACCATTTCCTCTGGTCCTGTCATTATTCCTTTGGGAGAAGAGGCCAACACCCACCTCTCTACAACCTCCTTTCAGGTAGTTGTAGAGGGCAATGAGGTCTCCCCTCAGCCAACCCTTGGTGGCTCTCCTCTGGACACGCTTCAGCACTTCAATGTCCTTCTTGTAGTGAGGCGCCCAGAACTGAATACAGTACTCAAGGTGAGGCTTCAACAGTGCTGAGTACAGAGGCATGATCACTCCCCTAGTCCTGCTGGCCACACTATTCCTGATACAGGCCAGGATGCTGTTAGCCTTCTTGGCCACCTGGGCACACTGCTGGCTCATATGGCCATAACATATTAGCATTATTAAGCTGAGAATTGTGACTCAGGAAAAGGAAAAATTGGGGCTTCTAACTTTAGAAGGAGTGTTTTGTTCTGAAATAACTGAATAGAGCCATGAAATGTTGTAGTGCAAGTCCTCTTCCCAAGGAGTTTAATGGCCAGTTTGCCATTTGCAGATCATCCTTAAACCTCTAGAAAGAGCCCTCAGTGTATCCCAGTGCTTCTTTCCCCAATCCCATTGCTGACTTATTCAGAAATTAATTCATCCTACAGTTGTACAAACTCCTTCATGAAATTTCCTTTATTTCAGAGCTTTTCCACTTTATTGTAAACTTTTTGGATTCATTTGTTTCTGTCAGTTAGGGTTGCAGCACAAAGACGCAGCAGGGGCCCAACTGAGCTTGCTTACGTGGGCTTCATTACAGGGGCAACTTGTGCTTTCATCACACTAGTGACAAAGTTAAACACTGGGAATTTGTGTTTGGAAGATCAACCTCTCTTTTGAGCAGAAGATTCCAGATCTTGCACACAGCAGCAGACAGATGATTTTCTGTTTGGATCTATATAACAGTATCTTTTTCCATTCCAGTAAAAGAGCTGAAAAGTACCCATCAAAGTTCCCCTAGTAAGCTGTACTTCACGGTCTTCTTCCTGAAACCCTGCACTTAACGTGAATGGTACCTGGGTAGTCAGTGTCTGTACCAAAACTAAAGAAAGTTAGAATGCTCTTGCAGTCACCCGTTGTCTGGGGGAACATTGAACTGTAGCCACTTCATTGCTGTCTTTCTGCAAAGCAAACCCTATTGCTAACACTGTGAGAAACTATACCTGGCTGCTCAATATCTGCATTAAAAATAGCAGATAGATGTATATTCCTCCAATTATTCTTCCTCATCCTCCATCTGTGAGAAAGTAGAAGAACCAAGTGGCAACTAATCTCCTCATGTAGAGATTTCTAACAGAGACATTAAAATTGGTGAATGGGGAGTGATTGGCAGTGTGTGGATGTGGAAGCACCAGAAGGGCGGGCAAGAGGGATATATCAAGACAGGAGAAGGTGCAACCTAGATTAGCTGGTCAGCCAGATCACAGCACTTCCACACACAGCTTCTCAGGATAACCAAATCAGGAAAACAAAAGGTAGCCTGAAACAAAGGACAAACTGCCATTTGAAGGTGACATCACAAAAGACGATGACTTGAAAGTAAAGAACTAGACATGACACCCAAATAAGGAGAAAAAAGATCATAATCATTGCCAGCTCCTAAAGGAGCTAAAGGCATGTCCAAAACCCAGCACACGATATGCTAAGAGGAACCCAGGAACCTTAAGGAGAACTGACATCTCTTGTCCTCCATGCCAGTCATCATGGCCGTACCATGTGTATGTATACACATACACCTTGATGTGTGAATGCTGGCAAGACTGTTTGGACACATGTATATTAGTGCTTGTGAGTAAGTGTGTATGAGTGAGTGAAATCAGTTTTGTTTTAAAATAAAATGCCCTTGCTCTCCTATACTGCCTGACATTGAGCTCTCCCACATTGGTGCTGCAATATTGAACTGGATCACTGGACTTAGGTTTCCTTTATGAAGGTGTACTCTTACACTAACCTGTAAATATTTTTGTGGCCAAAATTAAAAACATAAGTTACTTGATATGACAGATACAATTTTTATATCCTTCGTGTGAAACTTAAAATCAGTAGTAAGCCACTTTTCCCATACCTTCCACTCTTAGCAGATACTGTCCTTGGCTGGATAAGTATTCACATTGTCTTTATCAGGAGTGTGCTGCTGAGTGGGGATTTGAAAGATCAGCACATTTTTCATTCCTTACGGTGCTGACACCTTGTGGTAATGTTATTACCATGTTGAGAAATGACTAAGGGGCATGCTGTATGTTTTCTTTGTGTTTTCCTGTTCAGTCGGTCAGCATGTTCTGCAGCAGGCACTTCCTGGGCCAGAATTGGTTTATGTCCTCCTATAATAGAGCTACTGAGCTTAGTTGTTGTACCTGAGCCTGACACCTCTGTGGCAAATGACTGGTTTTTAATGTATTGTACAAGAGGAGCATGTGAGGCACAGAAGGGTGTATCAATTAACACTTCCTACAAGTATAAAGGTGATTCTTCTCATTGAGCAGAAAAACTTAGATATCGGTTGGGCAGAATTATCGTTGTGACTGTGAACTTAATCATTGCACCTGCCAAAATCCTGTGTTAAGCATTTCCAGGCTGCCTGAATTTGGTCCAGAGCGTTTTACTTACCTAGCAGAATTGGAGCCACTTCTTGCCTGTGGTTCTGCATCATCATCCACCTCAGCTCCCCTTGTAGGGTTCAGGCAGCAGCCATTAACGCTTCAGTTGTTGAACAGGTGGACCTTTGCTTTCTTATGTCTTGCCTTTGCCTTGGACTGTGTCTACTTCTGGGCAGCACCTGTTTGCAATTTCACTCCCTTCTTTATTATCCCTTATTCCAATAGATGTCAGCAAAGGCGAATGCAAAGCACTTTCTCCGCACCATCAGGAACAACCTGTTTCAAGAGCGCTGCAGAAGAAAGGAGGCTCAGAGAAGGAGGGCTCTGGAAATAGCAGAAGAGAACCACTTTCCTACTCACAAAAATACTCCGTGGGTTTCTGTTTCTGATGAGTTTATAATCTCTGAATAGTATGTCAGGCTGCTTGATTATGTCCTTTGAGTAAGTGATTTTGTTATGACAGACGCCATGTCATGATTTTTCCATTAAAAATGGAAAGCATAAATGGAAAATTGCTGCACATTGTTCTGTAGCTTAACCATGATTACCATGCTGACAACCTAATGACCAGTTGTCTGATAAAATGTAGCATGCTGGTGTCTTCCTTCCCCCCTTTCTTATGTCATCTCTTTCTTTCCATGCCATTTCTTATGCTCAGGCTAGGGTCAAGCATTGCAAATATTTAGTACTTGTCACAGTTGCATGGGGTTTTAAGCACCTCCTCTGTGACAGATTCATTGGAAGTTAACTGTAAATACTTTCCACATGTGACCCACATGCATTCACTGACAGTCGCTCTACTCAAGTCCTGCTAAATTGCAGTCCTGTGGGATTACTCACAATAGTGAGTAGCTGATCTCACTATTCCAAATCATTCATGTCCGTTCTGTGTGCTTTTAGTTAATGAGTAAATTCATTACTGTATTTGCATTGATCCCAGTTGTGAATAATAAGCATTAGAGGTTGTGTTGTGATTTTCCCTGTAGATCGTCCTTCCTTGCTCTGAGATTTTGGTTGATATTTAGGTGTAGAAAATAAAGGGAATGATTATATGAGATAAGGACTGCAAACTTATGAAGGATGAGATTTCTTCCAAGTAGTATAAGGACCTAGCAACATTCTTGCATCTCACATATGCTTTTCATATGAGGATTCAGTGAGACTGAAATTGTGCAAAGGAGGAGAAAAACCTGTTTATAAAACTTGATTGTGCTACACTGCTAGGTAAGTACATTGCTATTAGAAACCAATTGTTATAGACACTAAGGCCAATGGATGATAGTTACAGTGATTCTCTCAGAAAATGTCATTTCAGTGTTTGTTTTTTAGAATGTGGTGAAATGCAAAACATTTTCCCTTGCTAATATCTGCCCACTTGTATTCAGCAACAAAAAATCTTTCTTCATTTTGAATGTCCTTTAATCCTTCTGTGAGCAATCCAGATCTCACTGTAATTCTGTAGGGTTTTGCTTACCTAATGCTTGGGTAGCAATGAGAGAAAGGAGAATTTGGGGTTGCCATTACAGGTGTCACTGTGGGTCTGATAGATATCTGGGCTTTTCCCAGCATAGAATGGACTGAACAGCAGGATATATGGCCCTTTGCTATCTTGTTGTAGTTGAAACTCCCATGGTATTTAGCTCTTGGCTAAAGGAAGCAAAACTGAGAAGCAGCAAATTGCACTGATGCTAAATGGGTGGAAAGAAGAACCTGTTGTTGAGATTCTGTTGAAAGAGTGGAACTTGTTTTAAGGAATTTCATTCTTTCGGCCAAAATATGCCAGCAGTCACAGCTAAACCATACTTCTTGCTTAGTCTGTAGCACAGCTGTCTGTCTACTGGTAGTGCGTTAGTTTTATCTTTTTGGGTACCAAAACCATGTAAGGCTTGATCCTTTCTCTATTCATTATTTCTCTGTTGGTATACAGTCCCCCTGCAGAACTCAGTGCTTCCCCACTTCCTGGCCCTGAAAACCTGTCTTTCTCAGGGGACAGACCTGTCCCGGATTCACCCAAGTTCATATCTGAAAACAGAGCTGTAATGCAGAAGAGTGAGAATAACAGCAAGACACTAGAGCAAGGCAAGACAAAAACTCAGGTGAGCAAAACATGAAGCTGTAATAGCACTAAAACTGTGAGGAAAAACTACCAAGTTAACTATCTAATTGCCTTCTAATTAATTACCAGTGGAAAAAAAATGTAATGGGCAGCTTCACCTTTCTGTTCATTCCTTACTTGTGGAAAAAAATGTGGAAACTGAGAACTTAGTGAAGCTTGAATTTGATACCCTCCCAAGATTAAGGACTAACTCCTTGACTTCCATAACCTTCAGAAGCATTTCTAAGAAAATTTGCTCTGTTACTTTTTTTCTTTTCAAGTTGTCTTAGAATAGCATGTTAAAGACTGGCTGAGATTGGAGTCCTCTCTCTATTCTGACAGTAAAAAATGCCATCATGTCCTCCTACTGCAAGCAAATGTCAAGGAAGGATGACTTAATTCTTATTAGGCTCAGGCCATTTTTGTCACCATGGCAATGGCAAGAGGACAGAATGGGCCCTTCTTAAGGATAAACCCAGAGTAGTGTCCACTCCAACTAAAATAGCTCATGCATAAAAGCTCTCTACTAATCCATTTCCAGGTTGCCAGCATAGAAACAATGCTAGAGGAGTGAGTAGGACAGTGTGGATAAAAATAATTACATAGCAGTTTTTTCTTTCTATATTTATTTGAGAGGTTGGTAGCTCTGCACATACTCGGAATATAGGGAACACTGGGTTGTGTTCAAACCAATTTGTGTCATCCACTCATCTTGTTCTTCCCAGAAGCCAAGGGTGCAGTAACTAAGAACAAGCCCGTGTGTGTCAGGTCTCTCCTTTGGCTGCTACTCCTGTACTGCCCTTTGGAAGACCTGTCTTTTAGGACATGGATGCACAGCTTGAGATACAGTGCCAGCCAGCACATATCTGCAGGAGAAGTTGTGGGCAGACATTGCTTAAACATGTCATTTTTCTGGCTGGCATTTGTTGTTTTAGAAGACAGCAAGGCATGATTTGGATCCCTGTAGTAAGATTCTGTCACATGCATTGCTCTCTCATTCATTTTCTCTCTGGACTGAGAATTATTTTTGAGCAGTTTTATACTGATTTCCAACATGTTATAGTGCAGATTATTTCAATATTGCCTAAAAAGGTGCAGACCGTAAGTCCAATGATAGCTTTTAATAGAATCTGTGAGCTTGGAGATACTGGGGACCCAGCTCTTAGTCTCATAATTTCCTGGCATCACTGGTTCCAACCCAGTTTATACGGTGCTTCTAAAGCAGCTTATCTGCAAAGCGTTTGTCTCCCTGACTGCTGTCCCCTGCATGGCCCAGAGACTGCTACTTTCATCCAAAGACCAGGAGTTTCTCTTCTCTCTTCTACATCCAGTCTGTTTCTTAATCTCCTTGGCCCAAAACAGTCATGAGAATATCCATTTTATGTGATATCAGAATATTCCATTTTGCAGAAATTCCAGGGAATGAGGTTTTTATTCTAATTTAAAACAGGTTCTTATACACATAGGATTTCATATAGGACAAAGAATTTGTTCTATAGAGTAAATTTTCCAGTCCGTTCTAATAGCCATTAGAAATACTTTAATGCACCAGTTGATTGCAATCAGTTAAATAAAAAAGTTAACTAGTAAATCTGTAAAACAGACTAAATCCCAAATTTACCGTGCCCTCTTATAGCAAAAATTGGATAGAAAATGAAATGTTATTGCTGAAAAAGTTATAAACACATAGTTTTCTCTTTTTTTTATTATAGGCAATAGCCTCTTTTGAAGCAGATGTGTTAAAAATGCATGAATCCATCAAAAGCATTCACAATGAGAACAGGTAGGTAAATGCAGTAGTACAATGACTGAAGACTGGTGGGCAATGCTGCTCCAGTGAAGAGCTAGAAGACAGATGATTTTCCCATACTTTACAGGTTTTGAGATTTTAAAAAAAATCCTGTCAAAAGGGGATGAATTATAAAAACTCAGCAACAAAAATCATAAATGGAGATCACTGGAAAACAGTTTCTGGCAAAGCAAAACATTTTAGTTTGCTTTTATCAGCATTTCTTTTATTACAGCTGGAATTACAGCGAAGCGTAGAATTTGATCCTGAATCTACTCTATTTCCTTCAGTATGTTCAATTCCCTCTGTTCCTCTTTTGTTTCATTCATACAAGTCAATGTACAATTGTTGCTCCAAATTCACACAAGGGCACTCCAAGACTGGAGCAAAGCAATTGCAGTTTCATTGTAAGTATGTGTTCTTGCCTCACCCTCTGTTCTTATGTGGGAAAATAAAGAGATATGACAAAGATCTTCAGCTTTTGTTTAGATTAGCAATACTTGAGAGGATATCTGGGAGGCCTGCTTCTGAAATACTTACTGCATCAGCCTCTGACCCAGAGCTTATAATATAAGTGGTTTAATGAATCTCATTAGTTACAGGAAGCTCTTTGTTCTTATTCGTGAATGAACTTTCAGCATTTTTGTGCCTGTTCACAGAACTGGGCTTGGAGTTAGTTGAAGGTAGTCAGCATTTTACAGTAAAGACACATTAAATGCTCTTATAAGGGACCACTGTAATATTAATCATAATTTTAAAGGGTCTGACTTACTGTCCTATTCATACAAATCTTGCATAATTCCAGTGAAACTGATGGGGCTCTTGCCTGTAAGCCAGTGCATACCCATAAGAAAGTGGATCAGATGAACTTCTGGATGTAACTATGCAAGGGAGATAACTATTTCATCTGTGTGATATGAAGCAGTTGGTTTATTACTGTAGTGCTAACAAGCTTTTCTATCTGTCTTCACCTCAGCTGTGGGGAAGACAAAACTATTTCTGCACTGGCTTCTTAGAGAAATTCCAACTCTAGAACAGCGATATGGGTGGTATTTTTGTCATACTGTGCTCTGAGTAGGTAATTTCTAAACCTTCTCTGGTGTGCACGGAAGGGTGGCACTTCTCATTACAAAAATCACAGTTTCTTTTCAAAGACAAGTGGCCTGTGCAGAAACTATGAGTATCATCAGACAAGCTGCATAGAATACCAGGAGCAAGAAGAAACTCAAAGGGGTAGAGGCTGCTTTTACTCCTTTGATGCCCAGGGGGATACCTTGGGTATCTTTTGCAGGTCAGGGAGTTGCCATAAGTAGTTTGCTTCTAGACAGAGGAACTGCTACAACGTCTCTCCTGTTGCAGCTCCCTTTGTGGGAAAGGTAAAACCCCAAGATGCAAGGCTGAGACCTGGCCACAGTTCCACTCAGCTCATATCTTTCCTCATCTAGAACACTCCTGTTCTTGATAATTCCATGGATATAGCCCAGTTCCTGAAATACTGACCTGTAACCCCAAAGCTGACAAACATTTCCAGAACTGACCAGGAGGAGAAAGTTTGTACTACAATGTTTGCTCTTTTCCATGACTGCATACATTTGCATGTGTGTGATCTAGCAAAATTCCCACCCTCCTGTGTCCCTGGCAGGTACATGAAGAAGCAGTTCAACGAGTGGAGGGACAAAATGCAATTTCTTCAGAACTGCCAGGAAGACAAAAGCTGCAAAATAGAGGCAAAGCTCCAGGTCCTGAGAGCCAGCCATGAAAACCTGCAAATGGAACTGCAGCAAATGAAGCAAGATGTAAAGGTATAGTGATAAATACACCGAGAACCTTCACAGCTATGGGCAATTACTGAACACTAACTACTCCTTTTCCTGCAGACCAGCACTCTTCTTAATATTTCATGCACCTTTGCCTTGTCTGCTCGGTCATTTAAGGTTCTTCAGAGAAAGCAGATAGGCTCTTTGCAACAAAGATTTTTCTTGTCATTTAGCATCTAGCACAGATACCCATGTCTTGGATGTTTAGATACTACTGCAATGAAAATAATGAGAGGGTCTTCCAGTAAGAGTAAGAATATGGTTTCCAAGAGAAGTATTAGATACTGCATTGCAGTTCTAATCCTGTGTTGGCATTGAACAAATAAAATAATAATTTGTCATTCCTAGTTTCTGTCTTGTTTCTGCAATGTAACACACACCTCTTACAGAAAAAAAATATTTATTTTCAATTGCATTGACTCTTGTTCATGTAAAGTATCTCTGAGATTCTAAAAAGGCCCCTATTTCACAGTATATACCTATATATACATATATATTTTCCACCTACATCATTGAGGTAGCATTTTCTGCAATGCTGCTTTTAGAGTGTTTTTCAGGGATGGTCAAACATAGGGAAAAGCCAGACGTATCTGCAGTGCACACTTGGTCAGATGTATTTCACTTGCACATGGAGTCCAGTCCTGGCCTGTCCTACCACCCTGTGTGTGTGCCGTGACATGAGCCTGTCCACAACATACAGGACTGGCTGCACACATGCAGTTAAGTGTCCCGTGCAGGTACAGTCAGCTCAGTTACATCAGACTTGGCGTTCATGCAGTGGATGGTATTTGCCATCATAATTCTGTCTAGAAAAATTCTAAGTACAATTGTGGCACTGACAACCAACCTAGTTTTGAAATTTCAAATGTTAACAAGTGTGAGGTGTTCGATATGTGTTTAATATACACATATTTTTTTCCCTTAGTTTAATTATTTTAGAATAATTTTCCTGCAAATTTACTCTTGGAACATTGTTATTCCCACATTTCAGTGGCATTAAAGCATATAATGTCTTCAGATTGGAATTGTGGAAAAAATGGTCACATGGATTTGTCCAAACGTAGTCACAAAGTTTTATTTCATTGCAGGAAAATCTTTTATTTGTGAAAAGAATTGGTTTAGTTCACCAGAAATTAAAAACAAAATATTATTATGACCCAAAATTTGTTTTTCTACCTGTTTTAGTAATACCAGCAAACCAAATTGTCACTTATTCTCACAATGTAATTTCTGTGTTTTGTCTATTGTAGGCAATGTTACAGTCATCAGAGCATCTTGTTGTACAGTGTCAGAATATGATGCCAAGAAATCCAGATGTGCTGCTGGAAAGGAGAGTGCAGGGTAGATTAAATCCTGCCCAAATGAGGCCTAGTCCCAGAACACGTACAGACAGGAAATCTTTGAATGCCCCCAACTCTGCAAATAGAATGGAGTTTTTACAGACACCTGAGGTTCCCACTGCAGCAGACTTTACGTTCTCAGAAGACCCACTGGAGTCAGTGTCCCTGCAGAGTGACAGACCTTTTATGGGACAGTATAAAAAAGCAGAAGAGAATCAAACATATCCACCTGAATTGACAGAAAACTCCCTCAGTGGCATCATGAAGAATACAGTTCTTACTCCCACCGTGGTGCAGATACCACCCGATGAGAAAGAAGTCAGTGAGGAAGTGGAACTGCAGCAGCTAGTGATGAAACTGAAGGATGCATTGTCTCTCCAAGTCAAACCAGGTATAAGTTCTCCCAGTAATCTTGACAATGTCTTCTCACCTTCATCCAGTTTACTCTATAATATTGCCCATAATCAGAGGAAACTCAGAATCTTGCCTTCACCATTGTAGAAGTACTCCAGCTCCATACTGTAAGGTAGAACACATTCCTGTAAAGTGGGATATAATCTCTAATGTTGGACTAATTTGAAACAGGAGTCAAAGTGCATAAGAGAAAATCAGTCTCAGCAGTCAATTAAGGTGCAAACACATTGATGAGGACACTGGAGGTCTTTTCTGGTGCTACTTCTGTGGCACTGTAACTATGACTCTAGTCCCAGGCAGAATTCCAGCAGTACAAAATCCCTGTGTAATCAGTGGTCTTACACAGCAGAGCTTTGTTCAACACTCAGGATGCCTCACTTTTGATAATGAGGATGGAATGAAGAGAGCAACAGAAAAAGCTGCTGTTTCTAGAGTTATCTTAAATTAGAGATTTATAAAGAGTTTTTCAGGGCTCTGGCAGCATACGAATGCTCTGAAAGACTTTAAATCTGTTCTACTTTTCAGCTCAACAGTCTGCTTTGCAGCAGGAGTTCTTCACTACAGCTGAACGTGTTTGCAGATCCTTTTCTGACCTCATCAACCAAGTAACTTCACCAGCTTGTAAATGATGGAAACTACCATTCACCTTATAGCTTCACTGACCTATTGAAGGTAATTGATGCCACGTCAGACTCTTTAAAGTGTCTCAGATGTTCCATTGTAATAACCCAGCATAACAGGTTTCTGCGTTTACTGGCTTCACCAGGAACCATAAATAGTGTTAGAGAACAATGTACCTATTTCATTGGTGGTTTTCAGCTCCTGTGCAGTAGATGTTGGCCCAGCTGATAAAAATCAACATGTCTTCATTGACATTACACTGGCTTTCACAACTGTCCTGCCCTGTCCTCTCTTCTTACTGCTATGTAGTATGTAATGGCTTGTGTTTCAGGAACATGTATTTTTGATATGAGAGTTGGCTTGAGTCAACAGTTTTCAGTGATGCATTTTCTGTCATATCATTGTTTCTTAGACTAAAGGAAGGAGTAAATACTTAACTGTCAGACTTATCCATACTTGATATTTACATATTCACATTTTTCCAAACAACTGAATTAATATTTAAAGGAAAAGATGCTTTGAACATTTAAAGGGATTGCATTGCTTTAGAAGATCCATTCCATTATTGATTAACTTATATGTTAGTATAGAATGGTTAATAAGAATGTAATTTTGCCTGCAGTATCTAAAATGTGAGAAAAGTAATTTTTTCCTTGGTTACTAGTATTTTGTATTTGATGGAACATACCTAAACCTTCCACAGTATTAAAAATTCTTGTCAAGCCTGTACACACATAAATACAGGCATATATATGCATGTGAGAAAACATACAAGCTGCACAGAAGTTTGTAAACAGACAGATGACCGACTGTAGGTAGCAGGTTGTACTTGCTGAAGTTGATTACAAAGCCATCTATTAAGCATCACCAGGAAACCAGGCTGGGGTTTGAAGAGAAAGGAAGATATCACACAAAAAGAAAGATTGCATACTAATTTGATCCATTCGTACTACAGTCTAGCTTCATTTCTTATAATGATGGGTAAATGAAGGCCTTAGCAAAAATTTTGATCATTCATAGAAGAAAAAGTAAGAGATGCTCACTGTTTGCCTTTCATTGCTTCATGTTTCCTACCTGTTTCTTACAGCAGTGCAACTCGGTGAGTTACATTGATATAGTCTGTGATGATAGTGTGATCAAATACATATTGTTTTAGTGAAAGCAGTTCTGAAGGCTGAGATAATGGGTTAAACTATGGCATGTTAACGATTTGCATGTTATGCTAAATGACAACATGAACTAATGGGAAATACATCACGTGTGATTCCTCAGCAATGCAAATGATTGCCCATTTCTCTCTCTTTAGCTGTTGATATGCTGTGGTCAAGTTATTTCCTTGGAATTGTTCTGTATCTCTTGTTGATGACAGCAACAAGGAAAAATAAGTTTTCTGATAATGCACAGAAGTATTTGAAAGATCTGAGAAATGGAAATTATTCAGTACCACTTCAGAGAGAAAGATTATAGATTCAGCCACTTACTATCACTGTTCTGCAGGAGGTGCATGAAAAATAGTGAATGAGTATGTGCATGTGAGCTCAAAACCAGTCACAGTTCAAGAAAATTTGCATACTTTTAAGAATTTTGGTTGAATCACTGATTTTCGAGTGATTTCCAACTGGATTTCCAGCTTTCCAAGAGAGAAAATCCTCCTAGTCTTTACAGGAATTTTTATGTGATTACTAAGAAAATAAATTTGGTTTGGGTGAAAGCAAAGTATTTGGGAAGCTTTGGAAGAAAAGTCAGGTAAATTACATATTCTGAACCTTTTTTTTCATGTATAACCAAACAGGGTTTAGGCTGATGTGATTGAAAAAGCCAATGAAAAGTGTAGTGCTTAAGAACTGCTGGCCATGCTTCCTTTGATGCAGCCCATGATGTTGGCTTTCTGGGCTGCCAGTGCACACTGTCTGCTCGTGTCCAGCTTTTCACCCACCTGTACCCCCAACTCGTCCTCCTCAGGGCTGCTCTCAATCCATTCTCCGTCCAGCCTGTATTTGTGCTGCTGGTTCCCCCGACCCACATGCAGGACCTTGCACTTGGCCTTGTTGAACTTCATGACGTTGGCATGGGCTCACCTCTCAAGCCTGTCCAGGTCCTTCTGAATGGCATCCCTTCCCTCCAGCCTGTTGACCGCTCCACACGGCTTGTGGTTGTCAGCAGACATGCTGAGAGTCCACTCTATCCCATTGTTCATGTCACTGACAAAGATGTTAAACAGCATCAGTCCCAGTGCTGACCCTTGAAAAAAGCCAGTCATCACTGGTCTCCACTTGGACATCAAGCTGTTGGCTGTGACATTTTGAGGGCAACCATCCAGCCAATTCCTTATCCACCAAGTGATCCATGCATCAAATCTGTGTCTTTCCAATTTAAAGACAAGGATGGCGTGTGGGACAGCATCAAATGCTTTGCACAAGTTGAGGTAGGTGATATTTGTTGCTCTTTCCTCATCCACCAATGCTGTAACACCATTGTTGAAGGCCACCAAATTTGTCAAGCACAATTTGCCTTTAGTGAAGCCATGTTGGCTGTCAGTGATCATCTCCTTATTTTCCATGTGCCTTAGTAGAGTTTCCAGATCTTGCCAAGCACAGAGGTGAGACAATGGCCTGTGTTTCCCTGGGTCTTTCTTTTTTCCCTTTTTGAAAATGGAGATTATGTTTCCCTTTTTCCAGTTGGTGGGAACTTCCCAGTATTTTCCATGTGCCTTAGTAGAGTTTCCAGATCTTGCCAAGCACAGAGGTGAGACAATGGCCTGTGTTTCCCTGGGTCTTTCTTTTTTCCCTTTTTGAAAATGGAGATTATGTTTCCCTTTTTCCAGTTGGTGGGAACTTCCCAGACTGACTGCCACAACTTCTCAAATATGATGGATAGTGGCTTAGCAAGTTCATCCACCAGTTCACTCAGGACCTATGGATGAATCTCATCAGGTCCCATGGACTTGTGCACCTTCAGGTTCTACAGATGGTCTCAAACCTCCTTCTAGTCCCTGCCTTTGCCTTCTGCTACTTGGGATTGTGGCTGGAGCACTTGCTGGTGGAGACCAAGGCAAAAAAGTCATGGAGCGCCTCAGGCCTTCTCCATATCCTGGGTGACCAGTTTCCTATTTCCTTCTGGAAAGGGCCCGCATTTTCTCTTGTCTTCCTTTTATCGCCGACATAACTATAGAAGCTTTTCTTGTTGCTACTCTTAACAGCTGCAGGGACCGTGAGTAAAGACTGTGTCTCTTATGTTAACACAAAGCTGTGCACAATGGGGTTTTGCTGGTGGAGACCAAGGCAAAAAAGTCATGGAGCGCCTCAGGCCTTCTCCATATCCTGGGTGACCAGTTTCCTATTTCCTTCTGGAAAGGGCCCGCATTTTCTCTTGTCTTCCTTTTATCGCCGACATAACTATAGAAGCTTTTCTTGTTGCTACTCTTAACACAACTTCTCACCGTATGGATGAATCTCATCAGGTATGTTAACACAAAGCTGTGCACAATGGGGTTTTCAGATATTTTAATTTAGATAATTAACAACAGCAGTACAGGAATGAGCAGACCTGTTGTAACAATGCTCTTGTCTCCTCCACGCTGTGGCAGAGCACTCTCACAGGCTGTGCCTGCAGGCAGAGGCAGCTGGGGGTGTGATGCTGAGTACACTGTCATGTTCCTGTCCTCATCCTGCTTTAGTGTTCCTTTGTTGCATGCATAACTTTAAGCACAAATTTAGTGTCATTAAAGCTGATAGCCCTCTTACAGTTTTTTGTCTGCTTCCAATAAGATCAGGATTTCACCCAATGGGACTATGTTTAAACTTTATTTTGCTCAGGCCCATTTTAATACTTCATTTACACATTTTGCTACTTGAACCTATTTCTGCAAGTTGATGAACACCCAGCAAATGAGTTTTTATTTGGTCATTTGGGAAAAAAAAAAGCAATCACATATTGCCACAGGCTCAAGGAAAGAAACTTTGAGTAACCAAATTTAGTTCCCCTGGAAAGCTGAATGTTATAGTTTCATTAAACCAGCCAGACAATGGAAATATTTGATTTCATCAAAGCATCAAATGTTACCTGCCCAAAGTTATGTTGCATTAGTTTAATGTCAAATTGCCTATTTTAATGTTATTGGTAACAGTCATAGGAGACTGATTTGTCTACAAGGAACTTGCAAACTAAAGAAGAAGCAAATTCGGGTTATGTGTGAAAATTCTTTTAATGAAACACTTTAAGTGTGAATGTTTAACATTTTAAGTGGCATTTTTTATAAATAAAAATTTAGGGAAAATACCATAAAAATATCACAGAATCTCAGAATCACAGAATTCTGTGATGTGAAAGCAAACAGAGGAGCTGTTAGAAACAGAAAACCTGTTAACCCTTTTACTTTTCCTGGAAAACTGGAAACAGTTTTTGAAGGTATTTTTAGTATAAAAATAGGTACTATTCTTCTATAGTAGGTTGGTGTCTTTCAGCAGTGGTTGCTTTGTATGAGTGTACGAGTGTACAAGTGCTTTGTATTGTTGCGTACAACAATACAATATATGGATGCATATGCATCACTGTCTTGACTCTAATCCTGTCTTGGAGCCACTGGAGGTTTTTGGCAACTTCCTGCTCTGCTTCTCGATGTCTTATTGAAGGATCCATTGTTGTCTTTTGGGTGCCAAACCAGGAAAAGGTTTGAATAGGCCACATGCATTACAAAAAGCCTGATACTGTTCTGGTTTGAGGTAAAACAGAACCAATTTAATTTTCAGTAATTTTACTTTGCAGCTGAGCCTCTTCTAGCTAACTGCTCTCTGAAAATAATGGCGTATTTTTAAGCCAGTGTCTGTTTCCAGAGTGATAAAATGTGATTGTTTATAATTTATGCCAAGGAATGGTATGCAGAGAGGCTGCTGCTTATACTTCTTGCTATAACAACCAAGGTCAGCTCACTTTGTTGTATGCCCTTTGGAGGGTCAGAAGGAGAGAGTAGAGGGGTCACAGGTGACCCAAAACCAACCAACAGGGTATTCTATCCCATCTGCTCACTATAAAAGCTGAGGGATCGCAGTGGTCAGTCTCTATCTTTAACGGCCGGCATCCAAGGAGGACTCTGTTCATGTGCCATTGATCTCAATCCGTGTGTTCCTGAATCCAGTTCCTGAGTTCAGCTCCCATCCATCTCTGAGTCCAGTCTGGGACTTTCCCAGTGCCTGCTGGTGATGCAGTCATCATCCTGGGAGCTTGATACTGGGTTTGTATATATCATATATATTTCATTAAAGTAGTTTAGTTTCTTTTCAACTCATAGGATGCACTCTCTCTCATTTTCTCTCCTCTGAAGGGAGATGCTCTCCCTTCTCTGAAGGGGAGAGAAGTGAGCATCTACTGTTTGGTTTAGTGGCCAGCAACACATACACCCAGATTAAAGTAGGCAACTGCTTATAAATCATGCAGTTTATTAAGGAGATTTGAATTCATAGGTAATTAAAAAAACAAGTCCAACAATCAGAGATACAGTGCTCATGGTTATAGACCTTCCACAATGTAAATTAACATCAATGAAGAATAAAATGCAAAATTTAAAGAGAAGTAGTTAAAAAATATCTACAAATCAAGATCGTGGACTACATGTGTCATTTCCTCTTTTTCCCTAGTTCTTCAATGATTCTTCCAAGTAATGTAGATCTACTCTTATGCATGTGGATACTTATTAAATCTTCAAACCAGTCTTTCTTCTTCAGAACTGGTGACCTCTGAATATGAGAAAATATCCCTGAAAAGTGACACGAAAATGGATATAAGTAATCGATTTCCAAACAGCAAAGAGCAGCTGAATTAGTTTCCCACATCCATGTTTGCTCCACCTTTAGCTGCTACTGATCCCCACTTTATCAGCATTGCCCCCAACCCCCTTGTTTTGGCAATAGCCATATCCCTCCATTTGCAAGTTGCCTTTCAGTAACAAGACGCTTTTATCTTTTCCCCCATCATGGGCCTTTTCCTTCAGTCTTCCTGTAAAACTCTTCCACTTGTAATAAGCAGAGTCAAAGCACTCAAGTCTGCTCACAGTCTTACTGACTCACAGGTTTGTCATCAACCCCCTTGCACAGTGGATGAGCTCTCTCACACTATTTAGTAGCACATTTGTTATTTCCTTGAGGAACTATGTGGTATTCTATTTGCAATAATCTCCAAATGCCAGTAGATTTGCCTTATTTCTTTTAGATGCATTTGTCTTCTGAAAAAGTAACTGGTTAACACAGTGTCTATTTACCAGACTTCAAATGCATAATTCAGCAGAGTTGGGACAGCAAGTTGTGTCTGTTTTGTGCCAGGTGCAAGGGCTGATCTGGGCCCAATTACTTGCACTTGTGAGGAAAGTGGGCACAGCTGTGGCCACTCTGAGTGGCAAGGTAACAGGGGGACTGCTGAGTGAGGAGAAAAGAGGTAGGGAGGCTTTTGTGTTTGTATTATTCAAATGTTTGTACTGGTGATATGCTACACAGCTTCTTGAGGAGGATTTTTTTGTACAGCTGTTCTTCAGGAAGATTTGCTGTAAGTACAAAAGCTGTGTTTTCTTTGTGGTTCTTAAGTTTTATTTTGGCTTATCAAGAGTTGTTGCATCTAACTCCAGTGTTGTAATGTATTGGAAATGTTTTTATGAAGCCTGCTTTTTCATATTGTTTCGGTTTTGTTAGGGGAAAGGGATGAGTTACTAAAGATACCTTGGCTAGGTTAACTCTAAAGAACTTTCCTTACTTGTTTCAGTTTAAAACTGACTAATGCTTCTCTACAGGATATTTAGGGAAGTTGAAATGCTGCTGGATTAAGTAGGATGTTAGCTGGCTGGAGGCAGTTTGTTAGATAACTCATATATAGCTGTTCTGATTTTGTTGCATTTCATGGATTGTGTAGAGTTAGAAGAGTATTTTCAGACTTGTTAGTAACTACAATCAGGTACCTGGCAGGACTAGATCAGTTCAGAGAACGGTGTTTGAACCTGTGAGTCTGGACCTGGGCTATTTCTACCACTGTGTTGATGTACACTCAGACAGGCTTGTTTCCCAGGAGGGCAAAGCATGGAGAACTGTGGAAGTGCTTCTAAGACATGATGAAATAGTTCTGTTCAGTACTACTGAAAAGCTTTTACCAAGGACTTCACTAAGTTTTTTGGCTTGAAGGGCTTTTGTGGTTTATTTTCTTAAGAAAGCTCAGTTCCTGATACCCAATTTTCACAATGACCTCAGGGGATTTATCCTTTAGTTCTGATATCTAATGCTAGAATAATAACACCTTAACATCAGCATTTCTTTGCCAAGCACAGATCTCTGTCTTGCTTCTCCAATTCAATGATATGTTTAAGGAACTACAGTGAATGCAGCTTACAGATTGCTCCTGATTTATCATTCTCTTTGCAATTAAAAAAATGAACTGAAATTGTGAATGTTTAAGAAGAAGAAGGTGTGAAAACTTCAGTATGAGCAATAAAGATGTTATCAACAGTTGCAAAAGTAACAGTATAAAGCAAAAAAAAAATCTTGGTTTATTGTTTGACTTCTAGAACAAGCCTACTGAAAGCTATTCATACCTGTCCATGTAGACGTGGGGTGAAGTACACAAGGTCATTCAAATGCTGTTAGTGCTGCTCTTTGGGCTAAGAAAACAGCTTCATACATCTCTTTATGCATAAGAAGCAGTAATTCTAGTCCTTATCATTTGCTACGGTGTGATTTCTGTTTGCAATTATTAACAATTGATTTTTGCTTTCCCTGACAAAACAAGGCAGTAGGACCAAGGGTTACAAAGATTAAAACAGTTGGCTTTGTTAAGAAACTGGAAGATTTGGAGGAGAGGTTAGATAGTTCCTCCAAAAAAAAAAAAATAATTAGGCTGTTACAAGCTGCCTGGTACTGACTGATGTTAATCAATTGTACAGAGAAACCAGATTAACTGCTTATAACTCACAAAACAAAGAGGATAGAGAAGGAGAAGAATTCTTGCTTGTCTTAAAGTGTAAATACTTAGTAGTGCTTAAATTCTATCTATATAGGAGTAAATAAAAGTCACTATTAATCACAAAACCCATAATTCAATTCTTCAAAATACATCAGATTGTTACTCTTAATCTTGACTGGAACAAAAGCTCTTTGTTTAGGAAAATCACAGTGTGATATAGACATGAAGAGCCAGATGTAAACAAAAGGCTAAGGGGAAATTCAGACAGTGATATTCAAAGCTGCAATACTGAAAACTAAAATTAATCTTGTGCTTTAGCCTGGCAGGTGCCTCAGTTTTTGATAGTATTGATGCCTTGTATCTAAAGCTGCGTTCTGTTTGCAGCCAAAAGCGCATCAGGTTGGTGAGGACTGAGCAACTAGATTCCTTTGTGATATCTAAGTCCACCAGGGAACCAGAAGGAGGTCTGTGCTGCTTGCCATTTGTGTATCTTAACACAGTAAAGATCTTATCTTCTCAGAGCTATGTTATAGCTCAGATTCTTTGCAGAGCAGGGTAGGATCCACTCCTTGCTTTTAAAATGCAGATAGTGGTTGTTTGGCTCAGAGCTTAGAAACTGGCCCTGTGTGGGTGAGGAGTTGTTCAGTCTGAGGGGATCAATTCAAACACAACTCCTGTCTCCTGGCTTAATGGCTAGGATACTCTCTATAAGTAATGGGGGTAAGGGCCTCTCAGTCCTTCCTGTCTCAAATCCTGTCTTCCAATACACAAAAGGTTTTAATGTTTGTGGGCAAGAGCTGGACCGTCCACTGGTATAGTGGCCCTAGGGTGGAAGAATACCAAGTTCAAGTCCCTTTTTTAGAGGCATTCTAATGGGTCACTGTTCAGAGAGGTTCTTTGTTATTCCATGGACATTCCTCCCCAAACATCTTAATAACTAAGACCCTAGTGTAGGAATTGGTGATAAGGGTCTGAATCTATTCAAGTAGAAAGGCAGGTCTGCCTTCTCCCTGTAGGCCTCACATGCTACACAGTTGGTGATGGCAGCAGTGCTTCTAGCCCTCCATCAAATTGTAGCACCTGCCCCTTTCTGAAAGTGGACGTTCTGAAGGGAAGGATGAATCTGTTGGTAACAGGATCAGAACCGAAGCCTGGGAAGGGACTGAGATTCAGGAAAAGCTATGCTGGGGATGGGGAGGCTAAATGACATGCTACCTTTTGCAAATCCTGCTTTGAGGTGCCAACTCTCACCATATATGGAGACACTTCATGTCTGGGGATTCTGCTCTGGGGCTGGGAACCTGGACGCTGGGAATTGAATCGTTTAGTGTCATGGGGTAGTGTTCTTCCTCCTGAAGCTGTAGCTGTGTCCAAAAGCCTGTGTGCATCTGAGCCCTATGTCTCTTTCCATTGTGTGTTGGGCAAAGCTACTAGTATGGAAATAGGAAATCCCTAGTGGCTAACAACTAGATAGCAAGTAAATGTATCCTTACTCTTCAGAGGAAAGACTGCCACTTTCCCCAGCAGCCAGTGTGACATGTTTCTGGGGTGACACACCTCTTGGAATGAGGAATTCAGAACTAGCCTAACCATGGCACCATAGTGGTAAAAATGCTGGCATGGAAGAATATATTAGTATGTTCAGATGCTGCGCTGCCTTCTTAGTTTGAGTCCTCCTGTGTTTCACTTTCTGCTGTCTCTCCTCCCCCACCAAACTGGAATTTAAAAGCTGTCATTACAGTTCAGGTTATTTGGAGATCAAATATTTACTGAGATCACTTTGAACATAAACATAGCTCTGTACTGGATTGGGGAGTGGGGGGCAGTTATGCAGTGCTGTCCTCTGTTTCTGTACTATTACCACATAACACAATAAGCACCTGTATCTCTCTTCTTTCCTACTAGACTCTAGCTATTGCCTGTGAGACATATATTAAAGGAGTAGTAACCTTGGTTTCTCCCTGTGAACTGAGAATGTAAAGTAGAGATCTTCTGTTCAGCTTCTGCTAGCTGCCTTCTCCCTAGGCCATGGGTTCTGGAGAGCACACAGTCCACATAGATATCCCAGAAGAGCTGAGCCAGGTCCCAAAACAGAGCCCCATGTTTCAAGTTCTCTGATGATTTCAGGAAGATCATGAAGTCCCAAAAGCCACTGACAGAGTCAGAAATGCGAGGCTTCCTCATCTCCAGTAAGACAGCTGAGGAGGATTCCCAACACTGGGGGTCTGCTCTCCCAAGAGCTAGTGGATCAATTTGGCTATGGCAGAGGGAAGGTGTCACACAGAATGCTCCCATGATTAGCAGAGAGCAGGTGAGTCTCATGTTGCAGTGAATTCTTCCTCTGCTCCCAGGGTCCATTGTGTCACTGAAATGTAACAAAACCAAAATAAGCTGAAAACCTTCTGTTAGATGCAGGAACAAAGCTCTGGTACCTTACATTATATAGGAAGCACTTCAGATGTTGACAACTGTTTCTCTACTTTATAAAGATCCGTGTTTGCTTTTTTGTATGTATAAATGTAAAATCTAGTGGAGCTGCATTGCTCTGTGCAGCAGAATTGTGTTAAAATTTGTTAGTCATCCTCAAATCCATATGATGAACTCTCCTATCTGGAACTTAGGCAAAAAACTTTCAATATGCATTCCTTGACTTACAGATCCCTAACCTTTTTCAGTAAAAATCCATTCCTTTTTACAGAGATTTTAAGCCTTTAGGCAGTCTTGCTTTCATCAAAATTTTATTTTCCTCAAAAATTATAAGCCTTTTAAAATAGTCTGCAGAATCCCAGGGCTCTGTGGACAACAGGTGGAAAACTATTTGTTGAGAGTGTGTTCTAAAGAATTAATGGTAAATTGCAAAATCATCCACTGAACAGGAGTGTTTTACCATCTGAAATGCAGAACAGCACTGAAAAGAGGGTATGGCAAAGCCACAGCATAGCAGCTGTATTGTACAACATACATACGTGCATATAGAAACATAGTTTGGGTTGGAAGGGACCCTTAAAGGTCATCTAGTCCGACCCCCGCCCTGCAATGACTAGGGACATCTTCAACTAGATCTGGTTGCTCAGAGTCCCATCCCACCTAACCTTGAATGCTCGAGGGATGGGGCATCTACCACCTCTTTGGTCAACCTATTCCAGTGCTTTACCACCCTCATTGTAGGTTTTTTTTCCTTTTATCTAGTATAAAACCATTACTCCTTGTATTATTGCAACAGGCCCTACTAAATAAGTCTGTTTCTCACAAGCTCCCTTTAAGTACTGAAAGGCTACAGTAAGATCTCCCCCAAGCCTTCTCTTCTCCAGGCTGAACAACCCAACTCTCCCAGCCTGTCTTCATAGGAGAGGTGCTCCAGCCCTTTGATGATTTTTGTGGCTCTCCTCTGGACACACTCTAACAGGTCCATCTCTTTCTTGTATTGATATCTATAGATATAAAAGTACAGACTCTTATTGCAGATCACTGTTACAATTGTCTGACACATTAAAATTGTGAAACTTGTTATGTAGCAGCTATAGTGGGAAAAATCCTGAGAATGATAACTTTCTGGGGACAGAAAGGCCCAGCTGTCTGCATCAGATTTAATTTCTAGTATGTGCTTCTATTGTGCATTTTCTAACATGCTTCTAGTATTTCTAATATTACATTCCTGACACATATTAGAAATGTATAACAGGTTTGGGGGTTGGTTTTAGCGTAGCTCATGGGAACCTCCCATTTGTGGAAATCCATGCTTTTATGTTTTTGATTTGATTATTGGAAGGTGTTGTGGGGCGGGAGAAGTTACCTCTCTTAATGAGCTTAACTTAATAATCAACTGGCTTTTTAGTAGAAAGACTCTTCTGTGAGTGGTCACCAAGAGCACAGCAACGTTTCTCTGCTACGTGAGGAACAATGTTGAAGGCAGAATAAGTGTGTGCAGATGGATTATGCATGAAAATTAGCCCAGCCACAGCCAGTGTGCAAGACCAGAGAAGGGTAGGCTGCTTTGTGGAACGTAATTCATCGTAGAGCTAAAGGGCTCTTCAGAGATTTCAGTCCTGGCAGTCATGTTCCTACCTAGCCCCCTGTCTGGCTCTTTGGTCAGGTTTTTGGAACATTTTGGAGGTATTCAGGCTTTACTCTCTAACTTTTTTGTCTGAGTTAGGTTCTTATGAGGAGAATTGGCTTGGCAGCTTTGGATCTGAAACTTGCATTTAATGAATAGAAGAGAGACGGCACACCCTTCCCACATGGCTCTGCCTAGTGGGATGTCACTTATGACAGTGGTGGTAGTAATGAGATTGCCCTCATGCTGCTCCAAAGATCTCCAGAAGCATCATTCTTCTGTAGCCTACTGCACAAGGCAGGTTTTGATTGCTCTCTCAGAAGCAAAACTGAAGACATCCTGTGAGTCACTTCTTAATTCTTGTTTGTGCATCAGAGCCTTTCCACTGGGCAGCAGACACCTCTGCATACATGTTGTGCAATATGCACCTATCTGTTTACTGAGACTTTTGCAAAAGACATAATTAACTTTCTTTATCAAGTTTCTAACTTTCAAAAAAACCTTAGCAATCTCAGATTTGGCCATGGGGAGAAAAAAAAAAACATAAACAAAACAAACCCACCAACAGCAGACAGTTCAAACAAAGGAGTAATACTAAAATGAGCTTTTAAGGGTGGTTCTGTCACTTGAACAGGGGCCATCTGGTTTGCACTGGTTAACAACTGAACTGGTTGCTTTGCTTTCTCTGTCCCCCAGCTCCTTTGGGAGCTTTCTAAGTTACAAAACTGCGTAAGACAAGGAGAAGGGTTCTGGATTTGTCAGAGGTGTGAGCAAAGGGGCTGTGCTGGGCAGGGGGCTGGTAGGGCACTAATATGAGAGTGGGTGCTAGTTAAGGTGTGGTGTGAGTGGCACTGGTCAGGGCCAGCAGCCAAGCCCACTAGTCCTTATCGTCTGGTCAAACTCGGGCAGCATTTTGATGTTAGCCTTCTACAAGGTTCAGGATTTTTTTTTTTTTAGATGGCTGAGAGCTGAGGGGGATGCTCAGGAAATGTCAGTTTTCATTAACCTGTGCCGATGGTGAATGCTTCCATGCAGTCCCCTGCCTCCCCTCGCCCCCAGCCTTCAGGTCTTTTTGTCCAGAAGTTGAAGTTGATGTGTGCACTGTGTGCACCTTCTGGCTCTGACTTTCTTTTTTTTCCTCCCCCCCCTCCTTCTCCTTGTAGTTTAACCTCCCATTCCACACCCCATCATGAACAATAATAAGAATTACAATAAGAATAATCATTTTTAAAGTTAATTAGCTCACTCGTTGGCACCGTTTGACTTGGTTGGAGCTATCGGTTACGGTTAGTCGCTCGGTCCTACACCCTGCAGATGCCGAAGCGGGTCCCAGGGCGCAGGGCTGGGTGTCCGCCTCGGTGGCCAGCGGTTTTTGCGAAGCGTTTGCCGGGGAGGGGCGTCCGCGGGGGACTCCGCTAGTCCCGGGCGGCGCCGCCGTTGCCGCGGGCTGCCCGCCCGCCCGACCCCGCTCCCCAGCCTTCAGGTCTTTTTGTCCAGAAGTTGAAGTTGATGTGTGCACTGTGTGCACCTTCTGGCTCTGACTTTCTTTTTTTTCCTCCCCCCCCTCCTTCTCCTTGTAGTTTAACCTCCCATTCCACACCCCATCATGAACAATAATAAGAATTACAATAAGAATAATCATTTTTAAAGTTAATTAGCTCACTCGTTGGCACCGTTTGACTTGGTTGGAGCTATCGGTTACGGTTAGTCGCTCGGTCCTACACCCTGCAGATGCCGAAGCGGGTCCCAGGGCGCAGGGCTGGGTGTCCGCCTCGGTGGCCAGCGGTTTTTGCGAAGCGTTTGCCGGGGAGGGGCGTCCGCGGGGGACTCCGCTAGTCCCGGGCGGCGCCGCCGTTGCCGCGGGCTGCCCGCCCGCCCGACCCCGCTCCGCTCCCGTCCCGTCCCCGCCGCCGCCCGCGTTCCCTCCTTACCTCGGCGCTCCGGCGTGCAGGGCAGGGCGGGCCGGACAGGGCTCTCCACGCCCGCCGCTGCCGCCGCGCTCCTTAAGAACCCGGAGCGGGCAGCCCCGCTTCGTTTTTACGTCAGGGCTCGGGGAGAAGCCCCCACCCACCCTCGGGGGCTCCAGCCGCTGCTCCCGGGCACCCGCCGCTCCCTCCTTCCCTTCCCTTCCCTTGGCGGAGCTGCCAGCCCGCTCGGCTCCTCTGCCCCGCCGGTCCCTCCTCTCCCCGCGGACCCCGGCTCTCCAGCCTGGCAGCGGTGTCGCCTCTGCCCGGGGGGATGCCGTGACCAAGGGCCGCGGAACAGTAACAGACCCGGGCGCTTGGCAAAGCTGCAGCCCTCCCCTTGTCCCCTCTCCTGGCAGTGCTGCCGAGGGTTGGTTGAAAGCACGTCCTCACCTTGGAGCTTAAGTTTTTCAAACCTGGCTCAGCCCCCAGGCGTCTTGCTTGTTGTGCTTGGCTGCTGGAGGTTCCCTCCACCCCAGAGCAGGAGTCCGTGTGGCACATCTGGAGCTATTTGCTGGCTAGGACTCAGCCAGCACAGCAGGTCCAGCTCTCCTGGGAATTAAAGCAGAGACCTGGAGGAGAGCAGAGTCCCAGAAGAAAGCCAGTAAAGGTATTAACTGCAGCAATGGGGCTGAGGTGCTCACTGCAGCTCAATTCACACAACTTCATGTAAAGGAGAGCTACCTTAGAGGGCTGCACGAACTCCAAAAGGACAGGGCCCTGGCTACATTTTCCCTCAGGAAAAAAAAAGTAATAATCTGGTCTATTATTGTTACATTTTGTCTTTGTGATGTTCTTAGCTGTAACCCTTCTTCACTGCCACCTCCTTGGAACAGCTGCAAAACCTCTGTACGCATTAGGGAAATGCTAGGAGGCAAGTGGAAGGAATCCACTGGTGAAAGGGCCATCTCCTGGTACATGCAGTGCAGAGAAGAAAGCCTGAGCTCAACTCTGCCTGTGCTCACTGTTCCTGCAGTAACAGTCCACTCGCATGCATAAAACATAGAACTTGAAGAACTGGGGCTCTGGGAACAGGCCACAAAGCAGCGTAGGGCATAACTTTTTTTAAGACTAGCTATTTGAAGCAATAGGGAGGGTGACACCATTCTTTTTTTATAACTCTGTGGTCTGTAGGCCAAATTATGTAGCACTGTGTTGTCTGAAGCCAGTGCAGTTGCACTGGGCCATACCAACTGGGCAGTAGCCCATTTGCTTCGACTTTCACTGGCAGCTCCCTTCTGCGTTTGCACTTTGAACCATGCTTCAGTAGCACCAGGCTTATTTTTGTTAAAGTCAGTGGGGCCACACTAGTTCGTACCAGCTTGACAGTTGGCTTAAAACACTAGTTTTTCTGTTAGTCATCTATATCCTTATAATTTACATCCTTCTGTGCATCAGGTCCATGTAAATGGGGAAGAATGTTCCTTTCCTAACTCATGATCTTATGATGCGTCTACGACAACAAACACTGCTGTTCTTTTCTATTGATGCTTTATTTCCTCTTCTCAATGAGCAATCCATGTGAAAGTGTATTTTGTGAAAGTAATGTTACTTTTTAACAAAAGTGAAAGGAACTTTTGGGGGCTGAGAAAACATCTGGCTAGAACCAATGTTCTGGCAATGTATATTGTAGGACCTTGGCAAATTTGCAAATGTTCCATTTATTTCTTAAGAAGTGGAGTGTCAGGAATGGTGGAATAGTGAGCACCAACTGCTGAAACAGACTTCAGGAAGAGCTGAAGAGTGGGATCCCTTGCAAGGAGCCCTTGCAGAATGGCAGGGGGAAACCTCTCATTGCATGTAGAATCTCCAACATTTCTTCTCTGTGCTGCCAAATACAGGCTATTCCAGTAGACTTCCCTCTCCCTGGTTCTAGGGCTAAAATGATCCTTAAGCTTTATGGGTTTTTTTCAGTCTGCTCTGTAGGAGCTGATTCTGGGCCCATGTTCTATCTGGAGCCCCCTTGGCAAGTGAGTAATCAGTGTGCTCCTCCTGCCCTCTGTGTTTGGGGGTTGAGCTGGGTGAGGGAGAGGAGGAAAGTGCTCCTGTAAGATGTGGGTGCTGCGGTGCAACCTAAAGGCAGCTCCTGGATAGAAAAGACTCTGAAGCTACTTGTGTTTATGGTTGGCCTGGGTGCAGGAGCCAGACCAGAGCTGGACTGAGATGCCGTAGGAGTGTTGTTGGCCGACGTCGCTGGGTCTGTGGTGCATTGCGCTAAGGACTCTGCTGTTAAGGGAAGAGCAAAAGGCTGCAACGGGAAAGGAAAAGGCAAAATGTTTCTAGTGAGTTGATAAATTTCTGCCAACCTGGAATGTTTCTGGACTCGTTAAGAACTGAGTTTATTTACTTGACTCCCCTTCTGGGGAGCACTTTAGCTGGTTTTGGATCAAGATTCCATGTGGAATCCTGGAGACCCAAGGGCACTGAACCAGAGATTCTCAGAGAAATGAGAGCTGCTGCTCAAGGGAAATACTGCTACAGATAAAATACTCGGCGCCACAAATACTTCCTGAGCCTACTACGCTCTGTTCCCTCTGAACCAGAGCACTCATATTCTATTTCTGGGAAAGAGTTGTTTGATAATTGGATTCATCACCTCAGCCTCCTAGTGGAGAAGAAACATAGAAGGATTTGCTATCTCCGTTCCACGTATGCTGCCTCAGCAAAGCTTTTTGTGCCCTTTTTAGGCTATCAGTAATCTTTCTTTCATTAATCCTGCATGATGTATTCCCCTGACAGCCAACGTTCACATCTTCAGTGGGTCTCCATAGCTTACGAATGAATTTAATTCAGATGGGCCGTAGGCTGTATCCAGAGTAATTTGCAAAAGGATGTTTTTATCAAGAAAAGTTGATACTTTAACTCATAGATAAGAGAGATTTCAGACCATGTAATGCTACAGAAATGACACTATTTCCACCTGAAAAGTAGTAAAATAAAATATAAGCAAATGATAAAGTGATCAGGCTATAAAACCAGGGGATGGGCAGAGAGAAAACTAGGGGGCTATCTCATTGGTATTTGTATTTTGAATAGGGTAAAGGCATAAATAACTATGCACAGGGTTGCTTCCATCCTGCATTTGCTCCAGGCAAACACTCTGTGGTTCCATATTAGCACTTAATAGGCAATGGCTTATGGTTGCTTGTGCTAAGCAAGCATTTACAAATTAAAAAAATTAATTCATCACCAAGACACAGCAATGTGTGATGTTACATACAGTTTGCCTGTTACTTCCATAAGTGGCCACACCTGGACCCAGTATTAAGCTTTGTAAAATGATCTACATGATGAGAGACCTGTTTAAGCCTTAATCCCCCCCAAAATAAAATGCTTCAAAGAGAGATTCTTAGCTGAAAGTTAGAGTGTTTTGCTGAATTGGGTTCCAAATTATAGCAGCTTTGTGTGAATCTCAACTAAGCGACAGCAAAGAGAAAACTTGTGACTCTCAGAGGGGGGAAAACCTAAAGGTCTGTTAGTTTTTAAATTCACAGTACATGGAAGAGACTTGATTTTTCTTCAAAATCTGCAAAGGCAAAGTGGGGAATCTAACTCCCATTTCTACCTTTTCAAATTCTCTTTTAAGCAGGAGCTTAAACTGTGCTTAAAATTGGCTCTCTGACAAATATACCTAAGAGCTTCTTGGAAATGAAATACTTACGCTTAATCCAAAGTCAGTTTGTGGATATTTTTTATTAATTTTTAAAATGGTATTTAGAGGACTTTGAGTCAGGACTCTGAGTGGACTGAGAGTTACGCTACTGCCTAGTAAGGAACAGTGAAAGCCTCTGAATGCAGGAATTGTTTGAAAATTAGAGTATTTGTTTAAAAAAAATTAATTTTAGCTAGGAAATCATATAGAATAGTGAGCAGTCTGTATCTTATTAGCAGGAGACTGATGTTTTGTAAATGGAACGAGGGGCGCTGTTATCTCTGCAGTTATTTGAAGGGAAGTTACAGAATTTTTTTAGATCATCCCTTAGCTGCCTCTTTACTAGCCCAACATGCCAAAGTTACCTCAACCTTTCTTCGTGAGGTAGCAGGAGCCCATCTTGGTTGCCATCTGTTCTTTGGCCCTGTGAGAACATATAGCACCACCATTGTCAAAGAGCTTCAGTATCTCACTAACAGAATTTGTTAGTGCCTCTGACTTATTGTAAGTTGCAATATTCTGATATTTATTTCCTGAAGCATGCTACATCTAGCTATTCTCTTCACCTGTAACTTTAAAAGGCGGTTTTCATTGCTGTTAACTCCTGCCTTTAAACTTGCCTAGAATGTAAAGTCTTATTTCTTGATTAATTTCTAGACAATTTGAATGCATGGATTTTTGTGACACCGTAGTTTAGAGCACAGCTTGAGTTATGAGCAAGTGTTTGTGATATTTTTGTGG